TTAAAAAACATAAGTATTTTTGCATGAAAATCTAATTATTTATTTTATATTTAATCGCTTTGCTAGTACGTTATATAAGTCCTGTAAATAACGCTAATAACAAGCATTTAATTTCTTCATGAAGCTTCATTTTGAGTCGTAAAAGAATCTCAAATACGTCGTTTTAGTATACTAAAGCGGTCCGTTTTTATCAAATTTTACCTTTTTATTTTTCTCAATTGGTCCCTGAACGGCAATAAACACATCATTAGGTTTTGTCGCAGTTACATGAAACGTTATTAAAGTCGTCTGAAATATATTTTCACGATATTAAAGCTGAAAGAATGCTGTAAGTAAAATCAGGTATAAAGATCAAACAGTCGGTTTCCACTGCGGAATGTAGAACATAATATATTTTTATACCGCATTCTGTGGAAGATATTGCGAAATGCCTATGTCCAACAGTAGGCAAATAAAGCCTGATGGTGATGATGAAATTTTACAAATTGTGGTGAATAAAAATAAAGCAAAATAACAGCAATGTGTTCATGTTAAGTCTATCAGTTTTTAAATAAACTATCCGGTTCCTACGACTTCTTAATTTCAGAAATAAAAAAACCGCAGTAAGTAGGGTATGTGTTCTTCCATACTATGTATATCCGTGACATTTCATCGAAATCTGTTAAACCATTTTATAGGTTGGTAACAAACATCTATCTAAACTTGTAGTAAGTAATATGTAAGTAAATATACTATGTGTATGTTGGTAAAAATCAAAAATATTTATTTAAACTTTTTAGTAAATCAGTAATGGCGATGCGGCTTATGAGATAAGTAAGTGAAAATTAATTCTTTAGTCAGTCGTTTCATAAAAAGTATTGTAACTTTTTGTTTTATAATATAAGGCGACAAACGAGCAAGCGGCCAGAATCTACCAAAATGGAAATCGACCGTTTCCCATAGACATCCGCCATTGCAGATGCGTTGCCTACCCGTAATTGACGGAGGAGGAGACGCATAAAAAGGACATTTCCCCCTTTCCTATGCGTCTCTTCCACCGTCAAATCCACTTTTCCTTACCATCCTTTCCTCTTAAGAAAAGGGTAGAAAGGGAAAGGGACTAAAATTAGGCCTCCGGCACCACACTCATCAGGCTATACGCGGAATTACTTCCACTTCACGCCTGTTTTCTGTGTGGTCGTGGTATTACACCGGGTGAGCCGGCCCAGTCGTGAGAAGATGTTAAAGCGGGCTTAAATAATTAACAATAAATCGTATTTAAGAACCCGCACTAGTTATTATTATATTACAAGCATTGACATTTGTAGAAAGTAGCGAACAGATGACGTCGGAATGGGTAAACGAGGGAAAAATGCTAATCCTTAGCAACCGGTGCCAAGTGGGACGGTCTCGCTAGATTAAATACCTGGGTACGCTTGTGTTCATACTGTTACCGGTTTCTTTTGCCAAAAATATTTGTACAAAATATTGTCAACTCTTTCAGTCTCTAGAAAAAAAATTACATAGTAACATTTTTTTGCTTTTTATTTGGCAGTGCAAATAGCTTGTTAACAATTTGGCTCCTAAAATGCATTGATTCGTTAAACTGTTGGCTTTTAGTCTTTTGGCTCAAGTATTTACATTTATTTGGCTAGGCAATGTTTTAGGCAAATTATAAATTGCCTTTATTTGATCAATTTTAACAAATGCTCAATACAAAAGTGTTTTTTTGCTGAATTATTTAGTCGCTTTACTTCTTTCGGTCTGTTGACGTCAAAAGAATTTGATATTTTTCATTCTACCAAATCACAAATAGATAAATATTTTTTTGACGAGGGTCAAAGTAAATTTACAGATGAATTGACTACGTGTCAAATAGATTTATATTTTTGCGGTTTCTATTTTGTACAAATTCGTACATAATTTATCATACATAAAAAGGAAACATTCTAAGACCTTTGTTGTTACTAATTCTTTTTTAATATTTAGTTTCCATCTGGCTGGATATATAAAGAAAATAAAACGCGAACAATTAAAAAAAAATTCTTGTACACTTTATTAACAACATTATATTTAGTGTATCTTAATTCGTAAAAAACATTATTTTGAGTTGTTTGGTTTTGTTTATAACTTTATCATCGCAGATATTTCTAAGAAAACTGTTTTATATTCTATCCAAAGAATGTTCAAATATAATTATTGAATATGCATAGAAAATTCAAAGTCAAAGTTGATCTATGTCAATTTCCAATAATGAATATTCATGTCGTAAAAAGTCGGCTGATTTCATTCCGTTGTCTCTGAACAAAACTAACATAGCAAAACTCTGATTGTAGACATCTTCTATAAAAATAATCTTAGATTTTTGCTAAACTCGACAAACCCACCGCAATAGGACGTCAATCGTCTAAATTGAAAGCGCCCTTAGTGGCTGCTTGAGAATTAAGCAATTACTTATAGTTGAAAACGTTTAGACTAGTAAACAAAATTAAAAATAAAACTCTTTAACCTCAAGAAATATACCACACGAGCTTTCGCCCGCGACTCCGTCAGCGAGGAATTAAAAAAAAGTAGCCTATGTTTTTTTGCAGACTATCCTACACATTAATACCAAGTTTCATCAACTTCTGTTCAGCCGTTTAGGCTACAAACTCTAACAAACATCGATCCATCTAAATTTTTGCATTTATATTGGTTAGATTAGCTTCTACACGCGCCTTTATACGCGTAGAATTAAAAAAAATGTGATAGTTTAGATGGATGGATGTTTGTTAATTTACATCTCTAGAATGGCCCTTGATTAAATTTGTCACAAATTTAGAATATTCTAGAAGAATTATGCTCGTACTAAATTTGTGTAATTGTGCGCAGTCAAACTTGGAGACAAAAGCTATATTAGTAACTAGCTGTTCCTATGCGACTTCATCCACCTAAAATTACAAAAACATCATTTTATTGTTTACAGTTGTCAAATTATCAATTGCAAATGTCAAAATGACATGACATGATGTCAAACCATGGCAACCTTGAAATTATGGTCTCTTTCTCAAACTAAAGGTTTTTATCCAAAATATTTACCCCTAAGTTTAATTCTGAGAAAATATATAGCCTAAAGCGTAAGGTAAGTGTAGGGTTTTTTTTATTAAAAAAAGAGTTATTCAAAAATATGCTGTGATTGCTGACATCTTAGACAACAAAGAAGTGTGTGTTTACGCTTTATTACATTAGTATAGATAATATTATAAGTAAGACGTAAACATAAGTGTTAAAACATTGTTTACGGTGAAAATGAAGACGTTCTGCTATTTAACATAAAATATAGATTTCCATAGTAAATCCCCGACTAGTATTAGCAGACTAACAGTGTATATTAGCATAATTTCCTCAGAGAAACTTAGGCTGTCGGCTTAAGTTACTTTCTGTTTTTTACTTACTTAACTACTTACATACATTAATGAATTTCATGTTTATGTTAATAACAATGCTTTTAAGTAACAGATAATGCAAAAAATGTTTTTTTTTTTATCAAATAAAGGGTTTCAACTCTCATGAGTTCAAACAACATACACAAAATAACAATAGACAAGTTAGTTTAACATTGTCTAAGCTATCGAATCATTATAAAGCGTCTCAAACGAACTCATAAAACATCATAATACTTCACATACAAATTTCTAAAAACCGCTCGTTATTTGCGGTCAAGTTTAGACGCACGCAATTATTCGGGTTAATAAAATGTCGACATGTGGTTTACGTTTCTAATTACTATATAGTCATTTGTTTTGATCGAAACTGATGTAAAGTAATGCATGCCAGTATAAGTAGCGAGCAAGAAATAATTGGCACGTGCCGACAACTGGCACGATACGTATACACCTGTATTCACGATATTGTACGGCATTGTCGCGTCATCATCTTCCTTCTTATCCTATTCCTGAAGGGTTGGTGCAACAGGTTTTTTCCTCTACATAACTGTATCTTAAGTCATCTCAGTCGGTGTACCTTTCCACACTCATAACTAACGTTCTCCTTGTAACATGCGATTCATGCCTTCTCATAACATGGCCATATTATACTAACCTTTTACACCTTACTTCCTCTAGCACTTTACTACTCTCAAACTTCCTCGAATACTCATTTCGTATCTTAGCCATTCGTGTTACCCCACATATCTATCTTAACATTTGCACTTCTGCCACATTCTCCTTTAATCCGTCCCTTTTACTACCATTTACACATGCCTGTGACTGGCACGTGTCAGCTTGCATAGAAATGTGCTACGGGCATGTGTATTTCCGCCCTTACTATCGATGTTTATTGTTGGTTTCCACTTTTAAAACATGTCTAACGTGAAAATAAACAACATCAACACATAGCAAGCTTGACCCAAAAAGCTAGGCACAGACAACTATTTGCTATTCCATGGTCTGGTCTGCATGGAACCGTCCTGGTACATAGTACGCTAGCTCGGCTTCATTCGCATGAAATTATGAAAGCTTTATTTATTTGTTTACATTTGTCAAACTCCCAATTTCAAATGTCAAAGTTACCTTAACCATAATACCATTAGTTCCTTAATGTTGGCAACTTGTACTTTATAGTCCCACATGAAGTATTTTTCCAATTTATTTATACCGTAAGTTTAATAGCGTGAAAATATAGACCCTAAAGCGTGTTTACGCTTTATTTTATTAAGTATAGAAGTATAGGTATGCAGTTAGTTTTCACATTAGTTGAAACGTTAATCGCTTAGGACTGCATCTGCAATTCCTTGAATTGACGCCATTAGTTCAGTCACCACAAGCCTTACAAATAACTTTGAAATAACTAGACAGGTTATTCTAATAAGATAAATGATAATAAAACAGAGTATAGATGCAACTAAATACATCCCAAAGGTAGAAAATTAAATGATTTTATTTTTAAGTTTTATATCATAGTTCAAAAATCCTGGTAGGTGAATAGAAATATAACGGTAACCTAAAATCAAAATACAATTATACAAACACGAAAGTACTCACAGCGTAAAAACATCCATTTCGTGGCTCTCACCGAAAAATCCGATAGTTACAGAAAGAGAAAACGAACCCAGTTCTTTTCCTTCAACTACACAGACACAAACTTAACAATCAATAAAACACAATAGAAAACACAACACCGATGTACGTTTATCGTACTTTTATTGTTTATAACATAAAGAGATTTTGCTCCGAGCAAAGTTTCTGCGCCACTGTCACGGTCACAGACCGACATACCCTCTCCCACCAAACAACTTTTACCGCGACAAAAAGTTGCCACGCGTGGGGACATGGCGATATTTAGCAAATTAATATAATAAATAAACGTATTATAGCGAAAACAATACTGTTTGTATCTTCCAAAATGTACTACTTATTAGTGAAAATTAAAGGCTCCAAACAGAGCAGTGGTTTTTGAAGCGTAAATGTTTTGTCTCGCTCTAAGCGCTTGCGCAGTTCGTACTACGAGTGTGAAAGTCGATCATGGATCACTCTTTAACTCGAATAAAAGTCGATGGTATAAAATCTTGTTTCTAGGATTATGTTGAAAACTTTGTAATAATATTAGCGTTTGGAAGAATCAGTTACGGTAGCTATACAATTATCTTCATAAACGATTTTTTTTTAAAAAACATCTAAGAATGATGGTGCTTCCTACATCACTTTTACACATTTCTCATAATAAAATTATTTTTAGTGAAAAATTAAACAATGACAATCTATTAGGTATAGTGACTAGAAATTATTATGAACGTTTAGTTACAATCAAATAATAATTTTGAGTGCTGGCAATATTTTAAATTTGTTATACGATTTATTTGTGCCCGATTTATGTATGTTTGTAATTTAATTATCACCGTCATTACATATAATGTTACTTCGAGTTCCCCATAAAATCTATTCGAGTTTTGTAACTTCATTCGAGTTTTAATAGTGAGGGTTTAGGTCAAACAGGTGAACGCACTTGACCGATTGCCAAGTCGGTGTAATTGTACGAACATAATAAATAATGGAGAGTCGCACATTATAGGTAAGCCTACATTTTGTGCCAGCAATGTTATGAAGTTTCTCCTAAACTATCCAGCAATTGAATATAGCTTTTTTTATTACATAAATAGATTGATTTAATATCTTACCAAAGTTTTATAACAATCCTATTAATAGTATAATTGTATTATTATATTGCTATTTTTATATTTATATTTATATTGCTATTTTATTGGTGAAATTTAAAAACATGGTTTCTAACGTTATCAATATTATAAATTCGAAAGTTTAGATGGATTGATTGATGAATTTTTGTTAGAATTTGTAACCTGAACTGCTGAATGAAATTTGTCTCAGATGTAGGGGATAGCCTAAAAGAACACGTAGGCTATTTACTTTGTTTTTTTTTTAATTCCACTCGGACGGAGTCGTGGGCGAAAGGTAGTGTAATTTTACATTTAATAAACTCGAGTATACGTAAGAAATATTCTTCTTATGTGTTTTCAGAAAATACTAAATAAAACGTTAATGATGTTGCTTTGTACCTTTAACTTCTAAAGAATGTTTTCGAGTCGTTTCTAAGTAGAGAACTTCAAAGAAATAATAAGAAATACGAGATAAACATTCTGTGCAACATTTGTATATGTTTTTGTTTGTCTTATTAAAATTGTATGCTTATATTATTTAAAACAGTATTTATTAAAACAAACATTGAGTGTATCACTCTTTGAACAATGTTAAGGACGGGCGCTCACTTTTGTCTAAACTATCTAACAACTTTTGTGCGATTGTCGATTGTTTCGCATCCCATTCAACTGTTTAGTTGCACAACTAATAATCGAGTAGTGTGCGCATCCTCTATATTAGCTCATAGGAATCGAAGCGTTAACAATTGTGTGATAGTTTGAGGTGAGCGCACCCTCTTATAGTCGAAATGCACCTCACACTTTAAAATCATTAAAAACAAAAACGACTTCCAAACAAAATACACTAAAAACAATATATTTAAAAAAAAAACAGTACACTAAAAATTAACGAAATAATTCCTTGAAAATAGTAAACCTCCTTTATTGTAGGTATTATGTCAATATTCTACTATTATTATTACTTTAATGTCGGTGTCAGCCAAGGTATGTAGTGATATTTCTATGTAAGGCTTTCTACATTTTTACCATAACAATTGACAATTGAATGCGGAGTTATGCCGTAACACACTAAAAAAAATAAAAAAAAACGTACAGACGAATTGAGTAGGAGGTCTTTTGGGAAGTCGGTAAAAAAACTAGATGCATACAAATTTCTTGTGAAACTTCTAAAATATATTTTAAAGGCAATTTCATAGATATTTTAGTCTGAAACAAACGTTCCACGTTTTATTTAAATCAATTAATTAACAAAAAGTATTTCGACGTAATTTATTTTCATACTATATCCGGAGACTTCACATCTTAGTATAAGTTAATTCCGCTAAGTAACATGAAAGCTCCGCTCGAAAGCGAAAGCTTTGTGAAAAATAATCCGACGCGAAATCCTCTTCCGCAAGAATTATGCGCTAAAGGACGGGGGTGTTAACGGATAATTTCATAGAACCATTAGCACAATGAATTAAGATTTATTTCAAAATAATTTCACTATTGCTAAGAATTTGAAACCTATATCTATACTAACATAATTAGCTGTTCCCGTGCGGCTTAATCTGCAAGAAATATTAAAATTTTATTATATTGTTAACATTTGTCAAATTATCGATAGCAAATGTCAAAATGACATGACATGATATGATAAACTTTAGCAATCTTTTTTATAATCTATAGTATTATGATAAAGCGTAAAGACACACTTCTTTGTTGCCTAAGATGTCAGCAATTACAGCATAATTTTGAATAATTCTTTTTTTAATAAAAAGCCCTACATTTACGTCGCGCTATAGGCTATATATTTTCACGCTATTAAACATATTTTGGATAAAAACCCTAATGTGAGAAAGAGACTATCAGTTGCTGCCAACATCAAGAAACAAAGATTTCTAAGGTTTGTTATGTCATTTTGACATTTGCTATTGATAATTTGACAAATGTTAATAATAAAATAAAATTTTCATATTACATACGGATGAAGCCACACGCGAAAAGCTAGTAATTAATATTAGTATATTAATGCATGTAATTCCATATAAACACCTAGTACAAAGTTAATTCGTGTATAACTTTTAATTGGCTAATAAGGCAACATAATGAAAAACAATCCTCCTTAAGGTTTACAATTACTTTGTAATTACGTTTTTGAAGTCATTATTTAAGGCGCTTTGTTCTTAAAATATTGTATTTAATACGTGTTTTACTTAATTAGTTCTTTGAGAAATTACATAGTAACAAAATTGAGGTTTGAAACAAAATATTCTAAACTCGACTTTGATTAAATTACATTTAACTAGTTAAAAACACGAGCGTCGGGCTCAGTGGTTTAAGCACTTGACTTGTAATCTACAGGTCTTGGGTTCGAATCCCGCTGTACCAATATGATTCTCGATTTTTCGAATTTTCATATGTGCATAATTTACCCGACGTTCTTACGGTGAACGAAAACATCGTGATGCAACCTGCACATATCGGCGAAGAAATTCAAAGATATGTGTGAAGTCAACCAACCGCACTTGGCCAGCGTGGTTGACTATGGCCTAGTCACCCCGTATTAGGGTAGGCTCCGAGCCCCTCGCTGGGGACGTTTAGTGAGCTGGTGATGATGATGATGAGTTGAAAGCACGAGTAATCCTTCAAATGATATACACGTCTAGCTTATGCTATAGACGTAAAAAAACAAACATATAAGTTTTATTATGTGCCATTTATAAAAAAGAAAGAAAGAAGCAAAAGGTTACCATGCTATGGCCATGGGTATCAGTATGGTAATCAGGAGTGTGATAGGGTATACTGGTAGAAGTAGTAGGAAGAGATAGAATTGCTTGAAGGAAAACAGGATCATAAGGGAGAGCGTCTTAAAAACCTGGTTTACTGACTCTTTGTTAGTGGAATATGAACAAACATGAATGCCCATTTCTCCCCTATCTCCCTTAACGAGATGTTGGTTTCTATCGAATTTTATTATGACTTTTCGTTCACAATTCCCACCAGACTTCAGTTTTAATATAACGTACTCGTATAAAGTGTTTCGTTAATGTATTTTATGCAAATTTAATGCAATGCTCTAAATGCAATTCTTATCTGCAGACTGAATTTCATTTGAATTTAGTTGTTAATTTTGGGTTGTAATGCAAATTAACACTTAACTTTTATTACAGTTATCTTTAGCGTACGTTACTTTACAATAAAACCTTATTAGTCTTCATGAAATAGAACTGATTTAATTAAATAGTGTTCTAACTGAATCTAATTGTACTATATAATTTTAAACGTATATCCCTATTGTGTTATTTGGAACTAGCTATTCCCATGCGACTTCATCCGCATAAAATTATGAAAATTTTGTTTTATTGTTTACATGTGTCAAATTATCAATTACAAATGACAAAATGACATGACGATGACAAACCATGGCAACCTTGCTTTCTTGATGTTGGCAGCAACTTATGGTCTCTTTCCCACATTAGGGGTTTTATCCAAAATATTTACCCCCTAAGTTTAGTGGTTTGAAAATATATAGCCTAAAGCGTGACGTAAGTGTAGGGCTTTTTATTAAAAAAAGAATTATTCAAAAATATGCTGTAATTGCTGACATCTTAGGCAACAAAGAAATGTGTGTTTACGCTTCAATATAATAGTATAGATATAGATAGAATTATTTGTTTTTTTAATTAACATGATAATTTTAAAGTACTTTTGATTTACGTTTATTTTAAAATGCGTAGTTTATTGTGGAAACAGTGAAAAAAGATTTATTTTAAAATATCATTTATACACTTACGATTATTTACGCAGGAGCCATCGATGTATATGAATATTTTAAAGAGGCTCGAAAAATACGGGGTATATGATTTATTTACGAATAATTACACTTTCTCGATGAGTAAAATGAAATAACCTATACAACTTTCTCCTGAACGCAGTTTGGTTTAACTATAAGTAGATTTTAACAGACATGATTTTATGTGTTTAAAAAACATTTAGGGCCTGTCCCACAAAATTGTAAATTGTATGATAACAATTCAACGTATACAATATATGATGGAAATATCGGATTTTTTCCCTTATCTGATAGCGACGTTATTTTTAAGCTATCTGAGTCTCTATCAGCCAGTGGTGGGACAGGCCTTTAACCTATCAAAATTAAAAAACTA